CCAAGCTCCTGGGGGGGGGGGAAGATTGGCTTGGTAAACATTCCAGATATGAAGCCCAACTTCCATGTAGCTAATGATGAAACAAGGCCATTTTAAAATAAACTTGTGATGAAGAATCTTCCATCCAATGACAATGCTAAAGGCCTTACAAGTTATACTAACCATGTCCTGATATAAAGACCACAACAAAATGTCCTCTGTCCTGTGTTGACATATTTCCTATTGAAACAGGAAGTTTGAGAGGGATATATAGGAGGTTCATTTGCATGTTTAAATTGCCAGTAGGTGTTAGCTATGTGAAGATACTTGCTAGTCAAGTAAAGAGTTATTATTGGGAGAGCCATTCTTGTTCTACAGAGTATCAATATATTTCTGTCATGACAACTCTCAGAGGGATTGGCATGGTAATTTAAATAACAATGTTAATGTGTTTGGTCTTGGCGGAATAGATCTGCTACACTGTTGCTGCTGCTGCGGTACTGAGTCTGTACTGAGACTTGCTACTGGCAACATATCCACAGCATGCTGCTGTGAGCATGTAAGTAATACTGCTACTTTACATATAACGTAGAAGAAATAACCCCCATATAGCATACACGAATCACCCCGTAGCAGATCTATATAGGTGGAGCTGGGGAAGGTGGAGGGTTTCTGAAGCACGCTGCAACTGCTACAGCAAGCACTAGCCAAGTATTTAAATGTTAAGCAGCAAGCTCTTTGGCTGCTGATACAAAAAGAACCAATCAGCTGCACCATCTGATAATGATGTCATTATGTCAGATTGAGTTTGACCTATCGGACTGCGCCATCTAGAGTTTCGTGCCAGAACTTTGGATGTGTGTGTGTGTGTTTGTGTGTTTTTGAACACATTGGTTGAGTGAGTGATTCAGTAAATAAAATTTTGCTTACCAACTAAATTAATATTACTTTAAAGATGTTTTTACTGGAAAACAAGACCAAAAATCTGATTAAGGAAGAGTGCACAAACTTTGCATGCATACAATGCACGCACCCCTCAGCCCTCACGTGCAGTCTGCACATCCACATCCCCCTCTCCCTGTGTCTGTGTTACGGTAACCCCCATAACATTACACATTACACAACATTAACCACATCTACTCCTCCACATTCAGAAAAGCAAATAAATACAGGAAATGTGATCCTGCAGGAGCATAGGCAATAACAAAATAAAATTCCACACGACCTTACCATCAAAGTTTTATTTGAATACACAGGAAAAATATAAAAGCTGAATGACTGAGCGTTGTTATGGAAAAATATTATGGATATAGTATACAGATAGTATAGAGTATACAATATATTACACTTTAATTATGAAAATATATTAAGGATATAGGAAGTGTGCTGTTGATATACTGCTGAAATAACACACACACACACAAATCCTATTCTTAATAAGTATTTTTTCTTATTTTTCCAGTTAATCTGTCCCATATTTTCAATTTATACTCTGGGAGGAGCTCAGACCTCTGAAACCACAGTCAGATCCACACTGCTATCCTTTTACACACGGCTGGTCATGCTTTCATTCACTGACCAGTGTGTGACCAATGCTCTGGCCTTCAGAAACCACATGAATGTGATATAAATAGTGCCTCACTGAATGGACAACCTCAAGCCACTCCAGTCAATTATTATGTCACGGCTGATGGAAGTGTTTCTTTCCCTCTGATTTTGTACTATAATCAAATATGACCCTGTTATTCTAGAAAATATTCTGTCACACCGCCACATTGTTTTTTGTTGTTGTTCACAGAGTAATCTAGGAATAAGTATCTTGCTCAAAGCCCACATCCTGTATGGTTTAAACCTTTAACCTACTGGTTACAAACCAATGCTTTTAACCACTCACTCAGTTACGCTGCCTCAAATATTCATGGAAAATACATAATTTTTTAAAATTTCCTAACTGTAATAAAAACATTTTAATTGGCAGTCATATCTCATGTATTTTATTAAATTACATTTTTGCAAGTGGCCGGTTCTTTTTTTTTTTTTTTGATTTTTTAAAGGTATAGTTCACCAAAAACTGAAATTCTGTCATCTTTTACTGATCCTTATGACATTGCAAACCTGTATGACTACAGGATTTTGAAAATGTTTGAACATTTTGAAAATGACTATAAGGAATGTGAAAAAGTCCATGGTGTCAAATGCTGTATTGTAGAACATCTGAAGCATTCTTTAAAATATCTTATTTTGCATTCCACAGAAGATATAAAGTCATATGCGTTTGGAATGACATGAGAGTGAGTAAATAATGTCAGAATTTTCATTTTTGGGTGAACTATTACTTTAAAACTTTAAAAACATGAAAAGAAATATTCCCCCTTTACACAGTTCAAATTGTATACTTACTCATTTCCTAAGAGCTGCCATTGAGATTGGGAATTCTCATGGAAAAACTAGAACTAAGATTAAAAGGCGACTAAAATTAAAATTAAACTTAGAAGATTGAAACATTGGGTACCCAGCTGTGTGATTCTCATGTGAATATGTGTGTCTCAAGCTAGTCGGAAACTCCACAGTGAGACTGAGTGATTGACCAGGCTCCAGTCGTTCAGTCCGTTCATACCAACTCCAGCCCCTCAGATTCAGATGTGGCTGTATATGAAAGGCTGACTGACCACTGACCCAATTTCTGAAATTGTGGTTAATATTTCAGGTCAATAAACCTCAAATAAATGTAGTTTTTCCTAATGGCTGACTTCCCTAGTGGCTTTGCATTGTTTTCTTGACAAAACATTTGTGTGGTAACAGCTTGATTCCATACTTTGGAGGAAAAATTAGGACCAAAGAATTTTCCAGAAATGCCACACTGTATTACTGAACCCAGAGGAATCTCACCTCGTGCTGGATCTGGGACAGAATGTTTATCCTCTTGAGCCTCTACAGTCAAAGGGGTGGAAGAACGAGACAAGGAGCTGCTGGAGGTTCGTGAAGTCAGGCTGAGGGTGATTTCTGTTCGCCCCCGTGTCGTCCTTGGCTGTTCCCTTTCATTTTCCTCTGCTGCCAGCCGCTCCAATTGCTTATATCTGCATACATCACATAAAACGATGAAAGTCACTGAAAAACATTATGTATCAGGGCAATTACGCAAAGCTCATTTTCATGTCTGACTTCAAAAAGAAAATGTAACTTAATGTTTTACTTAATGTAAAAATGTAACATCCATTAAATGACCTAAATAAACCTGTTCTATGATGAGTATGTTTTTCATTTCTGAATTTAAAATTCACTTTGATACTGTGCAGATATCATTAAAAAAAATCCTTACAAAAAATAATTACAAAAATAATACAATTTCAACAAAACAGCTTTACTTATTAATTTTTGAAAAATATTACGGTCCAACCAAAAAAATAAACGAACAAATAAATAAATTAAAGTTGCAAAATGTCATGTGCCGTCACTCCCCTAAAACGTATTATATTTATTAATTATATTTATGAATTAATAATTCATTTCTAAAAACACTTTTGAAAGTAGTGATTAAGATATGCATACTCACAAGATTACATTTGTATGGCATGTGTGTTTTAAACCAGATTTTGTAATGATTTTAATGATTTAATGATTAATATTTGCTTCAGGGGAATTGTACTCGTGGACCGATAAATAAAACAAAGACAATTTCAGTGCAATCAGCATGCAAGAGAATATGGATTCCAATTTTGTACATAAACAAACTTCACTTCCAAATTCTTCCACACCAAATCCTCCCACTATGTTACCTATAACTCTCCCTTAACAGGCGTCAAAACAGATGCTGTCTGCTCCTGTCTTATCAACCCAAAAAATATGCGCCAGTTCTTATATAAAACATTTACTAAAAACAAGAACCAGATGTTTCATAACTATATAACATTTTCTTTTTATCACCTGAAGTTGGCTTATCCTTTAATTCCATAACATCATTATACTATACTGTAAGGTTCACATCAAATCAAGTTTGGAAGACCGTGACTTTTGATAAGATCTTGGATAAATGCAAAGACATTTCCATTTGCCAGGATGCATGTTTTTAACATTTACTGTAAATGGAAAAAGCCCATGTCTAAAGTCAATTACACACCTTGTCCTGCCGTCTTTAAAGGTCTTAATCTACAGCAGGCATAAAGGGGCCCTGACGCCCATATTTCACCTGCAGCGCGTGCCGACACACTTCCCATCTGCTGCGCAGTACAATAAATGTTTTCAAGGTGTATTACTACCATTGTGCTGATAATTGATATTAAACACGGCACAAGGCTTTATGACATAATTGCATTGGACCGCAGTAATTTATCCAATATGATAGAAATCTTCTGTGATACTGTATGAGAAATAATTGTCTGATATAAGTCATGATAAAGAAAGTAGAACAAATTTCTGTCCATCATTACACTGTTAGAAACATAAGGATGTTTTTTAATATAATACTTACTTTAGCAACAAAACAACCATTGAAACAACATTAGAATACTAATTTACTAAAATTACAAAGTAATACTGAAGTCCTCCAAGTTAGTAGCTACTGTAAAGGTTTAAGTCACAAGAGGAGAGACCGATAGGACCAATAAGCTGCCATGAACAATAGCCAAATATACGGTACAGTTCATTGTACACTATACAAACATATTTGACCACTTAATGCCATGATTGACCAATCAGGATCAAATATTCCAGAGAGCCATTATAATATTGTATTAGCAACACTTATATATAGGGACCAATTGTCACTATTAACTAGGTGCTTATTAGCATGCCTATTATTAACATACTGGCTGTTTATTAGTGCTTATAAAGCACATATTTTGCATGACCATATTCTACATCCCTAATCCTACCAAATATTTAAACTTAACAACTACCTTACTAACTATTAATAAGCAGCAAATTAGGAGTTCATTGAGGAAAAAGTAATAGTTAATGGTTTGTTAATGGTGAGAATTGGACCTTAAAATAAAGTGTGACTATATATTATATTATATTATATTATATTATATTATATTATATTATATTATATTATATTATATTATATTATATTATATTATATTATATTATATTATATTATATTATATTATATTATATTATATTATATTATATTATATTATATTATATTATATTATATTATATTATATTATATTATATTAATTATAGTATAGTATATTAAGTCACTCTGGAATTTACCTTTCTTCTCGAGCTTGTTTGACCTCTTCTCTCTTGTCCACATAATCCCGACTGCAAAAAAGAAAATCAACATGAGCAAACATGTAAAAAGTTAAAAATAATGCCTTTTATATGTCAACAAAATACATTTGGAGTTCATGGGGTTAAATATTGTTTACATATAGTTTTTTTATGTTTATTGTTAATCAAGTAGCAACCATTCAAGTTGGTGTTTTAATTTGATATTACACAACAGAAGAGGCTGACTAAAAGACTGAGTATATGGTAGGACTGACAAGCATAAAGAGAGAACAAGCATTTATCTTCCTGCAGCCCACCATGATTATTCACTGTCTGATCTTTGAATTACCATAATAAGAAGCAATAACTTGTCCAGTCAGGAAAACTCCCAGATATCTGATAAAATTTGGATGTAGGCCTCGGCTGCTTTTCTAAACTGCTGGATAAAATGTTTCTCATGGCCATCTCCAAGATGACGTCGGAAACGCTGATGTATTTGTCATATTCATGAAATAATGTAGCCCTGGGTGAAAACACATACAGCATCAAAATGAATGCTGAGAAAGTCCACAAACTTGAAACGGTTTCTCTCTTCTCTTTCAATGCGCTGAAGTCTCTCCTCTCTCTCCAGGCGCCTCCGCTCACGTTCAGCATTCAGAGACTCCTGATGTTGCCTGTAGGAGGAGGTTAACAATCCTCCTAGAGTAGGCCTGGAGAACCAGAGAAACCAAAGAGGAACAGAATTTCAGAACAACTATATCTCAATATAGCAAGAATTATATTCTTGGGCATTTAAAGAGTCAATATTTAGCTTGCCCTGATGAACGACAATGTAATGTAATGGTATGAGGAGGTAATCCAATCATAGTAGAGGACACCTATTAAATGTTTTGAAAATTCTCTGTTATTTTTATAATCATAACCATTTTAGCCTCAGAACTGTTACATTCAAAGATTCCTGTGCAAAACAGAGCCATATGCACATCAAAAGGGGAACAGTGCCTCACCTGTCGGGCTTACTGTCTGCAGGTGGACCTACTGAGGGTCCGAAGCGGTTGTATGGTGTGGAGGGGGCACTGGACACCCCGGATGACCTGCCGGGATATGTCCCTGCGTAGCCATTGCTAAAGGACGGAAAAAGAGAATTTAATTCAAAGTTCAGCCTTATATAACCAACTTAATTTGTAGGATTCTTTGTCCTGAAGTTTTCTCTTAACAGCATAAAGCTAAAGTCTCAATTTATCCAAGAGAACTAGTGGCCATATTTTCCATTCACTTCATTTATCACACTTATCATCATCTAGTACACACAGCCAAGGGGGGGTGAAGCTCTGATTCCAAATGATGTCATGTATTTCCTCCATCAGGACCACAACAGACACTCTCTGTGAATAGGCCAATGTGAAGCCTCACTCGACTGCCCAAACAGCCAAAGACACACACACACGCACACAGGTGCTCTGCTAAATCAAGCTTTCACATGAGTGAGTGACAAAATAAACTCTTCTCCCCAAATAAAGCTGCTTGCCAGTTTAGATCACTAGCTGCAGATGTACGCGATGTGACCTTGTATTGGAAGATATGATTCAAGACACGAGGGGGCTTGTTTCTCTGTGCAATCCCATATCTTTATTAAAAGAGGTCAGTGACACGCTGTCATTCGCTCCCTACACTTGTCTCAATGTTTGAGTCTGTTGTGATTCATTACACATATTATCGGAGTAAGAACTCAGAGCTGGGAATGAATCCTCACTTACTACCAACAGTGTTGGGAGTAACGCATTACAAAAGTAACAATATTACAGTAGTATATTACTTTTTGCTGTAACGCAGTAATATAACGCATTACTAATAAAATTTGGGTAATATTATTACTCGTTACAATCTCAGTAACACACGTTACAACAACATATTTTAACATATTTTGAATTTATTTACCAACACCGCAAAACAGCACCAGACAATAAATTCCTCGGGTAAAATACTTTGTCTATTTCCTGTTGCTGTAATTCGATGGTTGAGATGACTGAGACAGATTCTACATTTGTGAGATGGGCATACTGCGGGGTCGGAGAAGAAAAAGAATGCGGCGGACGAGCAACAAATTAAGTTTCACTAAAAATAACAATCTGTTTTTATTAAATCATAGTCTACATATAAAAGGAATTAATACGCGAAATATATATTGACTTAAATAATTAACATATTAACAAAACGAAAGAAAAGAAAAAAGACTGAGTAAAATATACTGCTGAGTTTTTGGTTAATTTTTGTGGCGCGGCGCTCTGCAAAAGTTCACGGAAAGGAAACCGAGATGACAAGCGCATCTTAAAATAGAAGTAAACACATTGCAGTTTCGAAGGATCTGTATGACCAAAAATTACGGAATATTTTCTGTTTCCACACGCACAAACATAGGCTACAGCATTGCAAACGTTGCAGCCGTTCAGAATAAAATACAGTCAACCAAATATAGATACACTGGTAAGTAAAATCGTCTGTACAATCCGTGTCGTTCAGCCTGAGCTCGGGCCAAGCACATATTTGTTCATGTGAAGAGTGTGATTTTTTTTTTTTTTGCGGAAAGCACGTTAAGTACAAAAGCATGGTTTATACATAGTAAATAAGTTTAGCATTCAAATACATCGCGAATATAGAAACATGGATTTGTGCCGAATGATAGAGGTAGACTGCGTGAGAACAAAGGTGTTTGCTTTCAATTTCGCTTTCAATTAATTCATTTTGACTTGTTTAGCAATTTATATTTTTCATTCTTGTTTTGTTCTGAATAGGCTACAGTTAAATTTAAAGGATTTGTTGTGGAGTGAGGAGAACTAGCCTATAGACTTGCTATTGTGTTTATTGCTTGTTCATTAGGGCCTATAACATTCTGCTTTATTTACCGCTATTATTTCTGAATGTAATTGCGGTTTGTGCTTGAAAGTGAAAGTAACTCAAAAGTAACTCAAAAGTAGTGTAACACATTACAATTCAGAGACAGTAATATTGTAATGTAACTAATTACTTTCAAAAGGCAGTAATAAGTAATATATAATGTATTACATTTTGGAAGTAACTTGACCAACACTGACTACCAATGAAACAAACAGACACTGTTCGAAATTCCAAAGTGTTCCAGCACCTAAAAACATAAAGAGCCATCACACTTTAAAGTGTTGTGAATTATTTTCGACTTGCCAAATGAAAACCTGCTCTGTAGAATTTTATGGCTGCAAAAAAATAAAAAATAAAATAAAATAAAATAAAATAAAATTGTCTTCATTCATATTTAACATGTTTTTGTAATTGATTACAAATATTTAAAAATATATCAGTATATAAAATTGGTTAACTATGGCACACCTTTATGCTTTTAAAACTTTAAAACATTTTTATGTAGACACCAGGAGATGAACAAGAAAAGATGGGACGAAGTATTTAGGAAATGACACAAGCCAGACTTGAACCCACATGACCTTTTCCTTTGAAACTGCACCTAAGCTCACAAACTTGCTTTGTTTTCAACTTGTTCCCTTACCTGCCACATGAACTGCATGAGGTGTTTGAGTATCTAACATCTGACAGACTGCACAGAAGAGACAGAACATGAAAAGAAGTTAGTAATCTATACATAAATTACAGAAGGATTAGTCTGACTGACAACAGGGACAGGAAAAGAGGACAGAGGGACAAGTGCAGCCGAGAGACAAGTACAGTGACAATACAGACAGAAAGTGAATCAAAGCAGTATCTGTTTATTAATTTAAATATTAAAGACCTTGTTAAATAGCCAGCAAGGACAGCAGAAGGGGAAAATAAATGCAATTTTCACCTTTACGAGACCACCAATAATAATAATATGTCAGTGAAATCCACTACAATAGATTAGCAATTGTAGCATGTAAAAAGATAAAATACGAGGCTAGTTTTGAAAGGTCATCAATGGAGAAAGATGCTTTTTGGTGTAGTTACAACACCTACCAGCAGGGGCAAACTTGACCATGCTAACCAATTAAATCTTCACCCCTTGCTTGCCATTGCTAGTCCATGGCAGGTAAGTCGGCTGTGTCATCAATGGTTGCCCAGCTTTTCCAGAAGAGAAGATTTTGATGTCATGTTGACTTTAATAGCGTACTGTGCCGTTAGCATAAGACTGTTGTGTAATTAGGTTATTAAATATTAAAGAGTCCACGTTTGCATAGAGCCAGCAGACTAAAAAAGGACTGTCTTTGATCCACTTTATAATCCAGATGGGTTCCTCAAGCTGCCACAGTCTTAATGTCAGACAAACATGCACATGACATCGCAAAGCATTTTCAGCTTTATTCTCATGAAATGTGGACCCTACAGGCACTGTCCAGGGTGAAATACAATTGCCTCTTTATATGTGACTTAATTTACAGGCTTCTCTTGGCTTTGTAGTGGTACAATGCACCAATGAAAGGCAGATGAGCTGTAAATGTCAGTAAAAGTTAGCATCCTTAAGGAGTGCACTACAGTGGCTGGTGCAAGTGAAAAAAGGAGACTTTAGTTTATAAAACGATCTGTCTTTTTGCATTCCATCAAATATAAAGGAAGCAACATAAAGCCCACAGAGTATAATGATTTATCAGGCTCTGATCATACTGGTATCCATTTCTTCTTTTATTGGTCTAAAGATTTTTGATATATAAGACAGGATAAGCCACATATTGCTCATGACCATAAGTTAAGAAACAGTGAGTGTAGCACTTTTTATGAGGGTGCAATTTTTGGAAGATACAGGACGTTTTACAGTGTTCTCTTGGAAGCGGATACAAAGGGATAGGGTGGTGATCCACTAGGTGAGGGTCTGACTCTTTTCAGAGGTGGGCTTGATGGAACAGGCAAAACAATAAACCCTCGCCATTCACAGGAGATCCAGAGATCAAGCGAATCCCATGCCACACTTCCTTCCAATTAGAGGATGAAAGTTCCACAAATACTGTGGTCGTAGTGTTTGTGAGACTTGAATCAGTAAAAACAGACATGGGTTTCCTAAGTTCATCTCTCAAGGATCTCATAGCTTGACTTACAGTATGTGGGAGTGAAAGTCATTCTCTGAATATGACATGCAGCTTTGAATGGCTCTATTCCAAACTTAACTGTCTACATAGGTGGCTCTCTTTCTAGACAGGAACCTAATAGAATATGACTTGAAACACTTTACATAGGCAGCAACTCCATTATCCAGACAAACGCACACCACACAGGATGGATGGATGGAGGAACAGATACTGTAGATGGATGGATGGATGGATGGATGATAGACAGATACTGTAGATGGATGAATGGATGGATGGATGGATGGACGGACGGACGGATGGACAGCAGACAGACAGACAGATAGACAGATAGACAGATAGGTAGATAGGTAGATAGATAGATAGATAGATATTGTGACTATACTAACCCCAAGGAGTACTTGAGAAGCTGCCTTAAAATTGGCCAAAATTTTCCTGCCTACTCTCAGCTGGAACAGATTTTGTGTTGTGCCTATGATCCCTAACTACGCCGGTAGCTCACTAAGATTTGGAACAGAGCCCATCTGCACATGCATGGAACTTATTCTGTGAGTGGCGAGAATCTACTGCATCTATCTGCACTACCTGCAGTGCTTGTCTGGGTCTCGAGCCTGCGGAGTGCCCACAGACACCTCGTCCAAATCCACTGGGCAAGTAGGAAGAAGTGTGGAAGAGAGCAGAGGAAGGACAGGGGACAGGGGGTCTTCGCTTGGGGAGGTGGAGGTTGAGGAGGTGACAGAGGAACCCTGGGATGGGAGGGCCCCCAAGGACCTGACCGAGGCCCAAGAAGACAGTCTGGGTGATATCGGGGGGCCAAAATCTGGGGTAAAAGGAGGGGAGGACACTGGGGCCTTGTGGATAACCTTGATCCCAGACCTGTCCCGGAGGTTTTCCTCATTGTCTGTATCAGTGGCATTAGGAATGAAGTTGACCATGCACTTTAAAGGCAAACACAAGCTAGAAGCTTCATCTACTGTTGATGGCATCCAGCTACGAACAACAAAATAACAGCAGAAGATCTAGTAAATGATGGTGAACACCATGATATGTTGGGAGACATTTATGTTAGTCAAGTCAGGGAAGAGATAACATCAGGAAATGGATAAGGATCTACAATCTGGTTTCTAGCTCTAAGAGTCTACACCCTGAAATCCTATTCCGCTGAAATACCTTTCGGATGCCTGTCTAGAAAGCTCTGTTTTCTGAATCTCCTCATCCTTTTCCTCCTCTTCCTCCTCTCTGTGGCGAAAAGGAGGGATGAGTAAAGAAAGGAGAGGAAGAACAAATGAAAGGAGAGGACAAGAACAAGAACCTTCACCACATGCTCTGATGGCAAACAATATGACACAGGTAATCACAACACAAAACTTTTAGGAAAAGTCAGGTTATGTTACTTGGTCAAACTTCATGTCATGTCAACACAATATGCAGGAAACCACTGCAACGGATGCTGCCTTCAAAGCGCTATCGGAATAATCATAAATATTAGTTTCCTAGACCAGGGGTAGGCAACGTCGGTCCTAGAGAGTCACTGTCCTGCAGAGTTTAGCTCCAACCCTGAAAACAAACCTCACCTGCCTATAGCCTTAGTAATCCTTAAGACATTGGTTCTGTCCCAAATGGCACACTTCACGTGCACTTACAATGGCCGCCTCGTGTGCGTGCCCGTTAAGTCCATGAGACTGTAGGGTGTCCCATTTGTCATTTTAGCTTTCAGAAGGGTGCTCGAGAGTGCCCCCTTTGCGGCCGATATGCGCCCTCGATGAGCTCTGTGGCAGACCTCTACCTGACAGTCAAATCGGCATTACGTCATGAAAGTGTGGACTCTGAGGAAGATCCCAGGGTTTAGGGTGCGATTTGCAGGACTCTGCAGGACAGCGGCTGTCTAGGATTGAACATGCCTACCCCTGTCCTAGATGAAAATTGGACACAAATGGCCTCTCAAGTCGTATTTATGACTGGGAAACCCAAGAGATAATTTTGATACTGCATTTATGACTTTGGGCTGTAAACTACATATGCAGGTAATGTTTATATAGTTGCCAGAAAATGGGATATTACACCTCAAAATTTGTTGGATATTGACTAAATATTTTCTATTAAGTTTGGCTTTAATAAGCCTTTTCCCCAAGAAATAGGCAATAATGAACCTGGTGTCCTCCATGTTTCTTATTCTTTCCCACAACAAAGCACTCGAACGTGACAAACTTGTAATTACGACTTCAGAAGTGGGACATAGGAAATATCTGGTAGCACATGAAAGCAGCATGAATCTATAGACCGAAATAGACAACACAATCAGTGTAGTCTGAATGCTGAACGAATGACTTTTATGAGCCGATCCTTTTTCGTCAATCAAAAGCGTACAGTGAGTGCATTTACATGCACGCTCTTAAACTGATTATGCTTAATAAGACAACAACTCCTATGGTTATGTAAATGCGTTAAACTGTTTTCATTTATCGGCATAAGGTCATAAAAAATTAACATCACAACTCACAGAACAAATGGAATACTCTGAGTAGAATACATGGTTGTTTATGTTTTGATGTAACCTCTGGGAAATAACCCAGAGGTTTTGATTAAAATATGGTTTACTTGCTTTGCCAGGTTATTTATATGTAAGGTTATCAATATGTTGGTCAACTCTAATGAGTCAGTTCTTTCAATGAATCAAGCACACATAAAAAAGGCTGCCAGTCTGCCAGTAAAAAGACCATGAAAAGTAATTTCTTTTGCAAGAATCATTTTAAATGTATCATTTGGAAATTGTAATTTTATTTAATCTTTCAAAATATTTAATTTATCACAATTGCCATTGTCAAAACAGAACAATAACTGATTTTTGGGTCACGACTCACCAGTTGAGACCCACTGAGTTACACAACAGTCAACACAGCAAAGAATTAAGACCTTTAGGAAGAAGAGGAGAAGTCCTGTGCCTTACTGCTCAAGGGTCTCGCTCTCTCTCTCCATCTCCCAGTAGACTGGTATTTATTACTAATATGGAAAACACCGCACTTCAAAGGTCCTTCTAATTTCCTGTGGTGGGTTAGCTAACAGACGTCAGGATCAGATGACTGACTGAGATGAATTCAACTATCTGTCAACCAAACCACTCAAAGAAAAATAACCCATGAAGCCCATCACTAACAGCAGATCCTGTCATCAATAATCGAAAGCACAAGCAGTCTGTTCAGCTCAACAAAAGGAGGAGAGTGACGTGAGATATAAAGAGATAGTGACAGGAGTATTGCTGGCTCTCAGACATATTCTTGCTTTTCTGGCCACTATCTGACTGCAGGCTTTCAGACAGGCACAAGTTCATAGCAAAAGTTTTGTTAGTAGTTACAGTATACAGAAGTTGCTTGTCGATAATTATTTAGTATTATGGCTGAGATAACGAACATGATAACAGATACTATACCAGATACTAACAGATACTAGATATCAAGACATTTTAAGAGGGAACTTTTAGATATTTTACTATAGTTTAATCAGTATTTTAATAAATGTAGTTTTCACCTCCCAGTAAAAACATGTAAATGTCTTTAAAACAACATACATATACTTGAGAAGGTAATAAGATTTGTTCTAAAATAAGATCATTTTTATAAGATATATTTTTATAACATATGTACCATCCAAAATGTTGGGGGTCAGTACAATTTTGTAGTTTTTTGCTCACCAAGGCTGCATTTATTAAAAATTACTGTATTACAAAAAAAAAGTAAAACATTTATTATTATTATTTTTATTATTTATGTAATGGCAAAGCTTAATTTTCAGCAGCCATTACTCCAGTCTTCAGTGTCACATGATCCTTCAGAAATAATTCTAATATGCTGATCTGGTGCTTATGAAATATTTCTTATTAATACCAATGTTGAAAACAGATGTGCTGCTTAATATTTTTGTGGAAACTGTGATACACTTTTTGTCTTTATTGTCTTTACTGTCACATTTTATTTTATTTAATGCACCCTTGCAAAACAAAAATATGAATTTCTTTTCTTTTCTCATCTTTTCTCAACATCTCAACTTTTGAATATCAGTAATATAGGAAACAATTACATGATATAATATATATTATACAAATTAATTTGAATTTATGAACTATATATAATTTGAGGCTTAAAAACATTCTTCTTGCAATGTCCGTATTAATATTATATATTATATTATATTATATTATATTATATTATATTATATTATATTATATTATATTATATTATATTATATTATATTTATACTTGCATTTTCTTCTTCTTACAAGGATTTTATGATGCTTAAACACCAAAGAACTTCTGATTAGATCTCTACTCTTGATTACAGGACTCACAGTGCGTTCTAATTACTCAAATGTGATGGCCAATCTAACACAGTGGTGGGTAAATTTTACGGGCACTGTAATTCAATATCACCTCTATAAGATCCTCTCAGAGACACAGAATACATCCAGACTCCCCAACATTCCACTAACAGAGAGCGGCTGAACTGGACTGTACTCTCTCTCTCTACCGCCTTATGTGACCTTACCGTGTCCCTACTTACGACTGACTCGCTGGATGAGAGAAAAACCATATGAAGCTTTTTCGGTGGCTGATATACTACTGTGATTCCCAGTTTGGATATCTATGCGTTCACCTTTGTCCTTTGAAACATTCAAAGGATACGGATTAAGTTGTATTATTATAGTTTACAACAAAATATACAAGGACAAGATCGAGCACCTCATGCTGTGCTACAGCCCTGAGAAGTATGCATGGCTCGAACCTCCATATTTCAGTAACTTCCTATTTCCTCTCAGCCTCACAGGTTCCCACCACCTCCCTCGTGTACATATGATTAATATGAATGTCTGTGCACTAGCAAGTGCTCTCTGTCTCTCCCTCGGAGCATTATTAATAAATTCTTCATCTTCTTTTGGGACTTAAAAACTCTCATGTCAAAAGTAACGTGATAGAACACCCAATATAAAACTGCTTCCTGTTCTTTAAAAATCAGTACATCCTGAACTACACATAGTGTTTTATGGCTAAAAATGAATAGATGTGGTCAGGGGAGGGTAAAAAATGGCTTAGTGTAAGGATTTTCACTTTCACTTTTTCATAGATGTCGCAAGACAACAATTGAAAGTGTCATATCATTAGTTTTACATTTTCATAATCTGTGTATTGTTTAGTTGTCCAGTAAAAATAACTACACATACAAGATAAATGTACTTCAGAAGCAAAATTATCTAGTAGATACTTTATTTGTCAACTGTTTAAAATAGTCTAAATAAATAAACTGTCTAAATAAACAAACAAATAAAAAACTTTAAAATTTAAACATTTTATTTATATTGTTTGTATATATTATTTGAAAAAATTATCACACACAAAGTTGCTTCTCAAGTAAATGCACATAATCTTATGTATCATATTTGACTGGCTATTTAAAATAAGTTATTCGAAGTTAAAAACTTTGGTAAGTAATAAAAATAATACTTATTCCACAAAAATAAATAAATGACGTTTATTATAAATAAATAAATAAATAAATAAACATGTTACATGTCCAACATTCTTAAGGAATATTAATGAAAATGTTAGTTAACGACGTTTAATAAATGAAGTTTATTATAAATGATGTAAATAAATAAATAAAAATGTTACATGCCAGCATTCTTAAGGTATAGGTATGAAGGTATGAAATTTTAGTTACATCCTTGTATAAAGGATTCTGTTACTTGTTTTTAAATGTAGTATAAATGTACTATAGACACAATGTAAATTATTCAAGTCAACTTCTATCTATCTTTTTCTCTCTTCTCACCTTTCGCTGATATCGTCTATTCTCTGGCCATTGAGGGGCAGGATGTTGGGCATGTGGCTGTGACAGGGGGAAGAAGGAGCAGAGGTGTGGCCTTTCCCGTTTTGGAGTGAATGTCTTCGGCTGCGGCGACGTTCCAAACCCCGCCTCTCAGGTGTGGCTCCTACGCTGGCCCGACGCCGACTTTTGTGTCCGGATGGAGGACGCTGAGTCTCATCATCACCGTCTTCATGACGTAGGGTTGACTATGAATAAACACGACTATTAGACTAACAGCAAACAGCAAATATTGCATCTTTATTAAGGTTTTATATATCAAGTATAACTTTTTGTTCATAAAATTCTTCATACATTTTAGTTTTGGTGTAAAAAAAACCAACAATAAAAGTTGAATTGAAAAGCAAACTGAGCACATGCTAACCTCATAGATGTTGAACTGTTCCACTAGGTCCAAATCTGTGCCCTTCCTGTTGATGTGTCTCTGGGCCACGGCCTCCATGCCCTGCTCCTCCAGACTGTCAACCACATCATAGAACGTGTCCTGGTCAGGAAGACCAGCTAATGTCTGCAGGAATACCACAGATACATGAGAATAAAACAACCTGGTCTCATGGCAAAAATGTACCCGGGGGCACATTTTCGCGAGACGCGAAATACGTACCAATAAGTACATATCACTGCAGTTTCCAAAAGAAATGAACACTAGAGGCAGTAAAACTCCGACACCTTTTATTCGTTTTCACACACATTTACAGAGTTTCGATTAATAAAGCGTAATTTTCGCACAATTACTTGAAGAATATCATGTTATGACTTCAATTGACAAAACGGTTCAAATCTGCATATAAGTAAGTTCAAATGACACGGTTGCATCAACAAATGCGTTTTTATATCAGTTTTGCATTTGTTAACACTATCGGGTAGGTTTAGGGTTGGGTTTGGTGTAGGGCATATTTCCAACAGGATAGAGCATTAACTTTTAGCGACAGTCCCCGGATATTTGAATTCTGAACCGCCGCAATATGTACCTGAACCAACGTAATAAAAACAGAGCAATACGTACCTATATCAACGTAATAAAAACGTGCCAGGGTTCACTTATTGAACCCGTGTTTTAGCGCCACTCAGTGGACATTTCTCTTTGAAACTGCGGCAAAACGTGCAGTAAGGTAGAGTGTTGCAGAAAAGCACCCAGAGGTACGTATTTTTATGAGACTGGGTTGGAATAAAAGTACTAATGTAACTTTATGTATAACACCACGTGACTGAGAGTGAGCAAAAAGAGTGACATTTTTGAAACCTAATACTGTACTGGTACCTTGTTGATAAGGGTCATGGCATAAACCAGCAGCTCAGTGTCCATTCCATCTTTTTCATCCAAGATTTCCATGGCATTAGACCAGGGTTTACAGCCTGGATACACGTAAACGAAAGGGTCAATGAGGGTCAATGACACATAAGAGAGTATACATTTTTTAAGGTAAAATGTATGCAAATATATACAAATATCAAAAATCATTAGGGTCACCATACTTGGCCACATGTCACGTCACGTCACTCACTCACTTAATCATTCATTTATAAATATCACCACATGACATTTTAAAACCAAAGATCAAATTATCTGATATTTAAGGACTTATTAGCTTTGACACAGTAATGACATATGATATAATATAAATCATTCTAATTTCATTCTAATTGTAAGTCGCTTTGGATAAAAGTGTCTGCTAAATGAATAAAATGTAACATGTTTAGTTTTTTTTGTTTGTTTTGTTTTGGTGTGTTTTGCGTTTTGTTTTGCTTTGTTGTGTTTTGTTTTTTTGAGTCTTGTGCCACATGGCTTTGATTTGGCAGACAAAAGCTGTCTTAAAAAAATAAAAAATAAAGAAACGTATTGAAGACGTATTGAAACAAATTCATTGAATTCAAAGGAACTGTGGTTTAATAAACTTCTAACGGTATTTGAAGTAAATCGGTTTAAATATGGCTGGTTCACAGAGAAATGAGCAGCATTAGTTTGAGGAGAAAATGTCTGATATGTAGATTAATAGCAGGAGACGTTCTGCTTCATCTGCCAGCCTGTCTGTCTCTCACTGGGAGACCAGAGACAGCGTTCTCTCTTCTTATGTAACAGTATTAAACTTTCATTCTAGCTGTCCTATCAACAATTTTTTTCCCCATTCCATTAATCTTGATTTACTCTGCAGGCTATCAAATTTTGTTCACTGCCAAGGCAGGGGCCGATAATATGAGCAATTACGTTAAAAATATCTTAAAATGCGTCAAGAACAATTTGTTATCTGTCATCTCCTCTTGTTGCTTTCTCTCTTCTAGGTAACCAAACCTCATCAGAGAAGTGCGTTTCTCCCTATCATTTTAGTCCCCCACACACACAGTAACATCCAGAGCTCAGCTTGGACTCAAATACAGAGACTGAGAGTTGAAAATGGATTTCCAGAGACACTGCGACAACTTTCCAAGAGTATTTCACCTTTCATAAGCGTGGGTGTGTTTGTTTTTGTAATGTGTGTATGTTACCTTGCTTGGTGTCCACGGTGTTGACGGCCTGGATGAGGAGAGGTGCGTTGGTCTCAGTGTATTCCACAAAAACCAGCAGCAGCTTCAGAGCAGTTTTAACAACCAACCGGAACTGCACACATGTACACACACAAAGAAACACTATTTATCTCTATACAGCAACATAACACTAATTATAACATTTGCCCTTACACCCAATAATATGAAATTTTGCAGCTCACACATGATCTTACACTGTCTAGACTAAATTGAATAAATATTTAAAGAGTGTAAATGCCCAGAAAATATCTTGACACATTTTCCTGAATGGGGTACCATGGAGGATATTGATAACAGCCTCTGACACATGACTGCACACTGACAGGAGAAGGAGCTACTTTAAATGTCCTGCAAGTAGCCTGTGTTGTAACCCTTTTTTCCTGTCTGTTCTCTATTCTCCTGGATTTGTAGTCCCCTTAGACATCTTAGTTTTCTATTTAATACTGTATTTTGTGCAACTTTATGCCCATTATGTAAACCAGTATAATTTCCTATAAACATCAATTAAATAGTGGTGTCACTGAACACCCTCACTGCAAAACAAAACAAAACAAAACACAAAGACATACACATTTATTCATGTTTATTTTTCTTACCCCACAGTCATTATTTATTTATTCATTCATACATTCATTTATTTGTTTATTTATATGTGCTTTAAGCATATAGTAAATCGAACAAACTTTTGTGAGGTTAATGCTAAAAAATAAAAATAACTTGCTAAAGGGTTAAAAATAAACTCAAGTTATATATTTTCTAAAAAAAAAAAAAAAAACTGGTTTTATAAGTGTATACAGTTTTTCTTCGTGTAATCTTGTAATTATCTAAGTTCAGATATTGCTACAGGAAAACAAAAATTTCAAAAATTTTTAAAAAGATATTTTTGCTTTTGCAAAATTATACATGATTTCTTAAATGCATTAGACATGGCAATATTGACACATTGTATTTCCCTGATAAGGAAAATGTGAAAAAGAGAAGAACCGCGGAAATCCAACAGACCAAAAAAAAAAAAAAACAGGGTCAAGCATGTGAATGTGTATATGGAGTGGAGAATGGGAGGAGAAATGAGAAACAGATCTGTGTTTAATAAAGTAAGAGCTGCTCTTTCAAACCATACTGCATCTTTCATATGTGTCATATAACAGAAAGAGAGAGAAGAAGAAATGCATTTAAACATGGCTGCATCCAGCACAGAGCTGCATAATAATATCTGTTGATGTGGTGATCACAAACATCCATTCACATCCAACCTCCAGACAAAAAAAAAAAAAAAACAGGGTCAAGCATGTGAATGTGTATATGGAGTGGAGAATGGGAGGAGAAATGAGAAACAGATCTGTGTTTAATAAAGTAAGAGCTGCTCTTTCAAACCATACTGCATCTTTCATATGTGTCATATAACAGAAAGAGAGAGAAGAAGAAATGCATTTAAACATGGCTGCATCCAGCACAGAGCTGCATAATAATATCTGTTGATGTGGTGATCACAAACATCCATTCACATCCAACCTCCAACACACACACACACACACACACACACACACACACACACACATCCATGTGTCCTCATCGTATGTACTCATATTGCCACCAGAGGGCTGGACAGCACTGAGAGAGGAAATCAATCCAGAACATTGATCGTGCCGTGCAAAACCGTGCCACACTCTGTGTGCTGGCACACCTGGAAGCTGCCCTGCTGAGTTAAAGCATGCTTTACAAACATTGGCTTAAAAGAACATAAATACAGGGAAAAAACAGGAAAGTCAGTCATGAACACTGCGTGCAAAACTACGCCACCCTGTGAGTATTGTTCAAGTTGGCACACCTGGAAGCTGCCCTAACTTAAAACATTTGCAAACATTGGCAAAAAGAACATAAATACAAGAAACAGTACCTTCCGGGCCTTATTGAATTCATTACCTCAGAACAAAATAATAGATCTGGATATTCAAAGCAAGAGTTTCTCATTTACTTTTGCTTTAAGGCTAGGTTTTAAAACCATTGTATTAACATTACATTGAAGTGCACAGGCCCAGCAATACTCAAAATTATATACATGACATAGGCTGAATAAAGCTGAATAGCATGTCAAAATTGTGTTATTTACATTTTATTTTTATTTGAAATGTATTTATATAATTCATGATATTCTATTATATACATTAAGCATTATAAGTAAGGACACACCGATATGAATGAAATTCTGGCCGATACCAATAAGCCAATTATTTTCATGTTATGGCTTCTATTTTGTCTAAATAAATTAAGAGTGAAACACCAAAAACTAAAATCAACTGTTTTAAATAAACTGTTTCAGCTGTTTTACTCTACAAGTGAATTTAGGCACCACAATCTGATAATTTATGTGAAAAATGCATTTTCCTTTTGAGGTTTGCTTAAAAATGATATTTAATGGTGTTATTAAATTATTAATGTTTTTACATTAACTTTAAGTTAGAACAATTAAATATTTAATTTCAGCTGATATATGTATTAACCCTTGCTAATAAAAAAAACAACCAACCAAACAAAAAAAACATTGAAAATAACCGATAACCAATATGGTACCGATATATCATGTATCACTTGACCCACTAGGAAGCAGGAAAAATCACAAAGTGAAATACACACCCATTGATAATTTTCATAGTGAAATATATTTTACCTTTGATCCGACCAGTGTGTAAAGCCACTGTACAGTTTCATTGTGTCCAATAAGCCCATTCATTCCATCCACATACAGCATGATTTGTCCAAGAGCTAAAAGAGAAAAGGAGAGAGAAATATATAAATATATTTACGTCCCAGCAGTTTGACAAGCCTGACAAGTCTGACAACCCCACTACCAAAACTCTTCAATATTCAAGTCTTGTTATAGCTTGGATTCCAGTGTTCAAACCCCTATACAAATACAGATAAAAAACTAAAAACAATATTAAATTATCTTTCAATCATTTTTTGTTAAATAAAATAATAATGTAATATAATTTTAATAAAATAATAACTTTTTCTATTGAAATTAAAAAAGAAAAGTTGAATTATTGCTCTAACTGCCTTGAATGATTGTTTTCCATGTGTTATTCATTTGTTGCAATAGGTAATATGTTATAGGTAATAGGTTTTATAAGTATTTTTTATTTATTTATGGATTTGGCCAACACCGTAATCCATATTGCATTCAAGACATACATTTTATCAGCTCATGCATTCCTTGGGAATTGAACCCATGACCTTGCTGTTGCCAGTGCCATGTTATAATGTTTGAGCCACAGGAACACAATAAATAGATCACTGCTTTGAAGCCAAGTTAATCAATTACATCTACTGGATTAGAATTAAAACTTTATTTCATTACAAAATGATACATTCATGCGTGTTAGCATGGGATTTGAACCCAGAAGCATGAATTCAACCTCTGGCCCACCTCACCATTGGATAGTCCTTTTATTGCACAAGTAAATTTAGAACGTGTAAGTTCTTAAAGTTTTTAGTATTTAATATTCCTTAAGCAAAACTGTGTGCTTTAAAGATGATTAATTTTCACTTATACGCAACAATGAAGCAAAACTGTGTTGTTCCACTGATGTGCATGAGCATGTGTGTGTGTGTGTCTTTGCATGTGCACAGCAGTGATACAGCAGTGTGGTCAGTGTTTCCATTGTCTTCATAAAACATCATTGGCTCTCCTTAGCAACTCAGGGGAGGTCTTCTGGTGAGGGAAGTGTCGTGACAGAGACTGAACCATAAAGAAAATGCTTCACACACCAATGAACCCTCACATATGTGTCCAAAGTTTAAAGCAATCAGAGTACAAACAGATACAGTCCTCTCTATGTGAAGATCAGGATTTCGCTCTGATCAAAGAGAAGAGTGTCAATGAGATCCATCTGGAGCTGTCTGAATCACATCTCTGCTGCAAAGAGTTATTGTATCATACACACACACACACACACACACACACACACACACACACACTAACACACTAACTCGCATGCTCCCTGGAAGATATAAGCTGTAACAGGTGAACCGTTCTCAAATAAACAACTGAACTGTTACACTTTGAGACTTCACACAAACACACCAACATAAAACCACATTTATAGGTTAATGCATTCAAGTTGCATTAAATTACAACATAAGTGTTCTGGAACTAAATAATGATGGTGGAAGCAAGCATTACCAAGCAATCCTACTTTAAAGCGGTCATATGATGCTGCTAAAAAGAACATTATTTTGTGTATTTGGTGTAAGGAAAATGTGTTTATGCGGTTTAAGGTTCAAAAAACACATTATTTTCCACATACTGTACATTATTGTTTCTCCTCTATGCCCCGCCTTTCTGAAACGCGCCGATTTTTACAAAGCTCATCGTTCTAAAAAAGCGAGGTGTGCTCTGATTGGCCAGCTATCCAGTGTGTTGTGATTGGCCGAATTCCTCAAGCATGTGACGGAAATGTTACGTCCCTTACCATATTGTGATGCCTGCGGCAACCACATGTGACGACCCCGGGCTGGACTCCGCTTCGTCCACGGTGAAAGCCGATCCGGCGATCGACAGCGCGAAGTTGAAGTATTTCCTCAGCGACCAGCACGGATCAGCTCTAGGCATGATAAGCAGATATCGTCCTCTTTTGGAAGGTCAAACAAAGTAGTTTCGCTTTCACAACGAAGCACACAGCGCCTTCACGACATGGCGGCGGCGGCAACAATACTACAGCGAGAATAAAAGTTACGCCTTCTTTCTTTGCGTAAACATTTGGGCGGCATTATGCAAATCTTCCCAGATAGTGACGTAGGTATGTGGGGGCGTGTTAGAACGAGGTGTTTAAGGTAGGTGTGGCTGACACTTAACTTTTATAAAGAATATCTCTTTGGATTTGAGACTTTAGTCTTTGCAACTTTACAGATCTTCTTTATGCACCAAGAGCTTGTAACACTCCAAAGAGAAAGGAAAAATTGAAATCGCATCATATGACCCCTTTAACTGTTGATCATCATTGCTCTTCGTTTCATTACACTAGCACAAACACTGCTTTCTATCTTGGTCAAGTGACATTACCCATGCATCCATTTGATCCAAAATGACTTGAATGCACATCATAATTATGATTTCCAAACTTTAAAAGTCAGAACTTCTGAAGAGCGGAAGGTAGCATATGTTTAAGCTGAGAGACTCCATGGACAGGCAGGAGTCATAACAAACAGCTTCGCACGCACACATAGAGCAGTTTAAATATTGTTCTTGAAGCCTGAAATCTCAGCCTGTGTGGCAGTGCAGTGGGGAAAACATCTGAGCAGGCTGATCCACCCAAGCGTAACATGACTTCCATTTGTTGAAGGACACATAAAGCGGGTCATAACAAGAGCTCAGGGAACTCCATAGGAGGCTACTAAAATCACGGAGCTTCCATTTGACAGAAAAGACTTGAGGAAGAAATAAAACCGAGAGCTCTGACAAAGACACAAGCAACAAGAGGTGAAGGTCAATGTGACTTTCTGAGCCGTAGTTCAGCTGAAGAAAGATTTCTGGCTCCACTGTATTCAGGCAAATCTGCAATCATACATGCACTCTATGAAAAATGCCTGGCTTGCTATTTTGGATGGATGTATGGTCTTCCAGCCACTTCTATCAAACCTCTACAATTAATCCAAAATGCCGCTGCAAGATTAATCTTTAATGAGCCGAAAAGAACGCATGTCACACCTCTGTTCATCAATTTGCACTGGCTACCAGTAGCTGCTCGCATTAAATTCAAGGCATTAATGTTTGCCTACAAAACCACCACTGGCTCTGCACCCATTTACCTAAATTAATTACTTCAAAGTTATGTGCCCTCTAGAACCTTGCGTTCTGCAAGTGAATGGCGTATTATTGTGCCATCTCAAAGAGGCACAAAATCACTTTCACTGACTTTTTCATTAACTGTTCCCTCCTGGTGGAATGACCTGCCCAACTCAATCTGAGCAGCTGAGTCCTTAACCATCTTTATATATATATATATATATATATATACACCTTGTTATGTGTACTGCGTTAGGCTAACCGAGACTTGTCATTTGCACTTATATATTGTTGCTCTTTTGTTAGTTTTGACTGCTTTTATTGTCCTCATTTGTAAGTCGCTTTGGATAAAAGCGTCTGCTAAATGACTAAATGTAAATGTAAATGTAAATGTAAATGTAAATGTATGGATGGATGGATGGATAGATGGATAGATAGATAGATAGATCTTGACTTGAGATTGACACACTCTTTTCATTCCAGATCGTTGAAAGAAGGATGAGCCCTACTGGACTCTATACTCACACAATGAGGTTGTTTGATAAATAGCATACCTAAAGCATGACTACATGTGTATACATGGACACAGGCTTTAATATGGAGTTCAAACTGCCTCCACATGCTCATACACTCTGCATTTTCTTTGTACAATTTCAAATCAGCAATCAAATCTGACAACAATAGTATCTAAACGACTAAAAACTTGTATAACAGGCACTTCTCGTGTTTATTGCCATCTTATGATGAACCACTTGTTGTTTTCCTCAACTGTAAGTTGCTTTGGAGAAAAGCATCTGCCAAATGAATAAATATAAATGTAAATGTAAAAAATATAGACTATTTTATGAATAAAATTCACTGTATATCCTTCGGTTATTTTCACACTTAATTAAGCCCATTAAAATGTATTTTACAAGTTTTTGTTACTTTCACTGTTCATTTTTTTCTCTCTCTATGGTAGCCTACATCATCTTTAATTTAATAGCATTGGAGCTGCTCCATTGCAGCGGCTCAGTACTGTAATCACGCACTTTGCTGTAATAATGCAGGGGTCCACTCGCTATAAATCTCCTAACTGTGATATTTTCAGAAATAGAAGTCGTGTTTTTTCATCTGAAACGTGCTGCGATTTATATTCCAAAGCCTCTCATATAATGCAGAAATGCTCAAGCAAGCAAAACACGCGCAACGCGTGCAGGTATTTGTACTGATGCAGAACAGTACAGACTAGCGCATTTCACACAAGCTGCTAGTTTCACTTTCGCCTGAAAGTTGTGTATGCCTAAGATTGAAAATAAATTATGTTTATAGTGAATTTAGTTTTAATCCAAATGATGCGTGTGCTGAGTGAGTGAACATCAAAGATCACACAACAGAAGTGCGCGC